GTCTAGGATATTTATCTAGAGACATCACCCATACTTTCATTCATGACTTGTCTGTGCCCTTTGGCATCTTGCATGGATTATAGTCCTGGGTAGGGTGGTAAGCTATGAGAGACAGCTGGGCACCTGGTTGAATGAGCGTTGAACCCCGGAGAATGCCCTTGGAGAAAAGGTGTTCATCTCTGATCCTGGGGCCCTTGCTCTATCAGCTTCAGCCTTCCCACAGAGAGGTTTATGGCCATTGGTTGCATAAAAGTAGCACCTCAGGCTCTCCCACATGCAGATGATGGATCCCCAAGCTCTCAGAACAAGCCAATAAGGGTTACCTGCTGCCAAACCTTAACCCACCCCAAACTGTATATATTTAGCCTAACTTAGAAGTAAAGGTGTGCAAGAATCATCCCATTGTCTGAGAGCTTCTATCGTGGACCCTCCCCCCTTTGCCAGCTAGCAGATCACCTCACGGGCTCTTCAAGAATTGAGACACTGGGAGAGAGATACAGTCTTTTCCTGATAGCTACCCAACACCTTCCTTCCTGCTCAGTAAAATGCTATAACACTTCTTTTCTCTCCACAGCTGAGACATGGTCAGAGGTAACAGCAGAAATAGCAGCGGACTCTCCCTGTTTGCACTCTATTACTCTGGACTGCCCATGTGCATAGGCAGCGCCAGAGGTGCAGCTAATCTCACCCTGTCTGAGGAACCAAGCCAGAGATTCACATAGGAACCCCTCCAGAGTTGGTTATAGCATTTGGCGCCCAACGTGGAAATGTGGGCCACAGGTTATGACACAAGGTTGTGCTATGGGCCCACAGCTGAGGGCATAGGTGCTGTGGGTCTGGCCTGAAGTAGCAGCAGCAGGGCAGGACTTCCTACTAGCAGCTGGAAGTCACTGTCCAGTGCTTCTGGAGGCTAGAGTCTTCAGTGGACAAGGAAAGCCAAGTGTGTCCCATATCACAGCAACATTCATGGTAACCTTTCTTGTGGTGGAAGGCACTGCTAGCACTCACTTTACAGGTTCTGGGCAGAGGGAGAGAGAAACTTCCTTGAGTGCTCAGGCAGCAAAGCCCTTTATGTGGGTGAATGTCCACATGGGGAAGCAAGTCTCCGAGAGGGTCCCTGGCAGGGTGCTAGGAGTAGGCCCAGAGCAGAGCAAAGAACCACAGAGGGGTAGGGAGTCCTGGACCACTGCTTTTCAGGAAACTGGCTGAACTAAGTGGGTGCAGCTGGCAACAAATGGTGGAGGAGGTGAAGGGGAAAGGGAACGAGCAGGGTGCCGGGCCCCGCTGCTTCAGGCGAACTAGCTGAACTATGTGGGTACAGATGGCTGCAAATGACAGAGGAAGCATGTGAAAGACTGACCCCTTGGGGAAACATGAGAGGAGTAGAGCTTGGAGCCAGTGCTCCTGAGAGAGAAAAGCCTGTCCAGGCCTGGCCTGGGGTACCCAGCCATGAGAAAGAAGCTGTCTTGAGAAGAGAGGGGAAATGTCTCACCCAAGGGGAGGAGTCCTATAATGAGGGTCAGGGAAGCACAGGGATAGCTCTGAGCTCAAGAAATATTTCCTGAGACCAGGTGGACAATGACTCTGACCAGTGGGGAATGGGGGAGCTTACCAGTTCTAGGATAGACTAGTGAGTGTGTATATCCTTTGGTAGCTGGTCTAATGCAAACCTTCAAATTTCTATATATGAGTCTTGGCATCAATGATGTATTTATAAAAAGGTAAAGAGATAAAGAGCATGTTCAGTGGGTGTGTGGAGAGGTGTGGGGGAAGGGAATGTCTCAGTGGGTCCATGTAGAGACATCTCTTCCCCCTGAGGAACCAGTCACACACCAGTACAGCATAGAATGTAATTTTTCAGGGTATGGGGAGGGGATCCAGGAGGGTAGTATAGGTAGAGAGATAGAGGAGATAGAGAGACAGACAGAGCAACAGCGAGAGCGAGAGCGAGAGCAAGAGAGAGAGAGAGAGAGAGAGAGAGAGAGAGAGAGAGAGAGAAGTAAAGAAGTAGAAGCCATCCATGACTATGTGTAGAGAGGGAGAAGGGAAAAGGGGGTTGGGGGAGGGACAGAGAGAAGCTAGAGGCAAGAGATCAAGAGTTTAAGAGAGAGAGTGGAAGGGGCCAGCCCACTTTATAGTGGGCCAGGCCTACCTGGCTTTTCTCAAGTAACTGTGGATGTGGAGTTTAGGCAGAATATTAACATTCCTCCATTTTGGTTTAATTAAAAAAGAAAAATTAGAAAGAGTTGACTGCGAAGCAGGAATAGGGTTATCATAGTATCTGATACTTTCTGCTGGCATTGGGGGCAATGTTTCTCTAGAGGGAACCTAGAAGAATGGGTATTGGGTATATTTGTCCAGTTTTAGGAAAGTTGGCTGTTTCCTGCTGTCCAGGGTCTATGGAGCCATCTGAGGATAAGTCAGAAGGAATACGTCCATTAGAAGCAGCTGTGCTTGCGACAGGAGATAGAGAATCTGGAGATTGCTTCTCTGGAGCTGTTTTGGATGTTCCTGAACTTGACAAGATGTAGGGAAGAAGATTAAGCACATTTGGGAGAAAGAAAATTTTTTCTAAGCTGTACATTTGAAACCCAGAGGGATTCCACTCTTTGGAGTAGATGGTAAGTGGGAAATTTATGCCAATATACTTATCTAAATGGCATCTATTTGGTCCATGAGAAGTAGATCTGAGTGGTGTTCCTGTAGCTTATAAGTTTATAAAAGAGATAAAAGCATGAGTTAAGAATATGAACAGTCTTTAAGATGAACCTTTGCTGGATCGTATAGTGGAATGTTTTATTAGAATTAGGCAAGTTTATAGGAACTCAGATAATATTAGGGTAGTGGTATAGCAAAAAGAAGAAATATGAAACATTTAATTGATGTCACTGAGTTTAGGTAATGAGGTAAGAGATAATATCTGTGAAAGCTTAGCTGTCGATATAGTCTGAAGTCTGAGAAAAAGTAAAAAGTAATCTACCAGTTATATATTATTTTTTTAAAATGACGGAGTCCACTAGCCAACAGTTCCCATGGTCTCCATACTCTCTTGGGTGAAGTCAGTTTGACTTCCAAGCACAGAAGATGCAGGGCTTTTTCTTTGGAATGGATATGTGTGACATGAGAAATGACTTAACCTGGTTTAGCCAAGTCATTTGACTCAGTACATCCAGTTTAGTCTACTGAGTTTGCTAGTGACTATATCATTGCATACAATCCAGGCTGTATCTTCTAGGTGTCCAAGTCTTCTGAAACCATCTTGGGTCAACTGTTAGAGGCTTTGGGAATTCTGTTGGCCATAAACTTAAGTATGCTATTAGCAGACTTCTGACATGATTGAGAGCCATAGCATTGATTGTAACTGAATAACATTTAAGAGCAGTAGTAAAAATCTATTAAGACAGAAAAGGAAAGAGTCTTAAGTAACTTTGGCAGATTGTATAGGTAGAGAAAAGCACATTTTTGTATTACCAAAGAAACATTTGGCTAGGACTACAATAATAAAGATGACAACAGTGGCATGCAATCATACCAAATTGCCTCAACAGGGACATTCATAGCCTCCACTGAACAAGCAGACCAATTTCATTCATGCACACACACAAATCTAAAGGGGCTTCATGCTCACTTCCCTCACATCCTCCTTGCTCATCTATAAAAGATAATAAAAACCTGTGCCTCTTGTGCATCTCTCGTTACCATCCCAGCTTTACAAACCATGGGCACCAATCCCCGAGGCCTCAAATCTAATGCCTTATGGCAAATTCATGTTACCCATGTTCCTCAATTCAGTAGACATAAATATGTTTTTGTCACCATAGATACTTACTCACATTTTTTTATGGGCTACATCCCAGACAGGTGAAAACTCAAAAAGGTTAATTTACCATATTTTCTCCATCTTTGCCATTATGGGCATTCCTTAACAGATAAAAACTGATAATGCCCCCCCATCAGTAGCACTCAATTTAAAACCTCCTGCACATGCTGGGAAATTGCCCATCGTACAGATATTCCCCACAACTCTCAGGGCCAAGTAATAATAGGAAAACTCTCCAGACCCTGAAGGCCCAACTCCTGAAACAACAAACCACCACTTACCCCCTAATGTACAATTAATGATGGCCTTGACTACCCTAAACATATTTGACATCTACAAAACCTCCAAACACCCTCATATTTCCCTCCATTGGCATACACCAAAACTAGCTCCCCCTATCCTAGTATGATGGCAAGATTCTTTGGTTGGAATTTGGAGGGGATCAGACCATCTCCTTACAACCAGGAGGGTGTTCCCTTGTGTCTTTCCACAGGACCAGTCCAAGCCTATCTGGGTTCCTGCCAGAAATGTCCAATACCACCCCACCAGCCAAGAAAATGAACCAAGAACCAAGGAGAGGGAGAAGGCAAAGGAGACACCACCCCCAGAAGAACAGCAGGATGTACTGGAACAACATCTATGACCTGATGACAGCTGTCCAGGCCATGTGCCCTCCACAAGCCCCTCTCTCCTCTATTTTCTTGGCTGTTTTTGTCATCCTTCATGCTATATCTGTTACCGCCCAGCCTCTCCCTATCCTTCTTTGCTGATTCAGCCAGAAGGCCCTCTAGCTAAGCTGATTAATGCTTTGTGAACCACATAGGAAGGAAAGGAAGAGTTTAGATTCTTTGTAGCGTCAAATGCACAGACACTTATAATATTCAAACATTCATACACTCACACTCTGGGTAGGCATGGTATTCTGTCACAATCAATTCCATAATTTTTCATGCATGCTTAGCAATATACACAAATACCTACACACAAACATATACACAAACAGACATATACAGTAGGATGGATGGATGGATGAATGGGTAGATGGATGCATATATGTATGTATGTATGTATGTATGTATGTATGTATGTATGTATTTATGTATGTGTGTTGTATGTATGTATGTATGTATGTATGTATGTATGTATGTATAGATGGAGCAAAGCTTCCCAAGCTAAAACATTCAACCAACAGCAGTGACTTTATTTCTATTTTTCTCGTCTTTTTATACCTTCTTAGACAAAATATGCTCTAGAAAATTAGCTCAGAGATAAATGTTACATGAATTTGAAGTTACAGAAGGCAATGATGTTAATATTAACTTCAATGCAGTGTTTCATTATAATATACTAATTGAAAATTCAAAGCAACAGTTTTTACATGGACTTGCCTTTTGATAGTGTACACCTCTGACTTTATTCTTGGGCTTAAATGCCTTTCCTAGAAAAAAAAATGTTTCAAGTCAATTTCTCTTTTAGTGTAATTATGATAGCTCATTGTATTCTAACTATACAGGATTTAAATACTAGTTTCAAGAGTGGGCACATTCTATTCTTGGTTCTAAATCTATTGCATGTTTCTAGCAACTAATACCATCTCTAAAATATTCATTCTAAAATTATTTGAAGTAAATTAGGGATTCTATAGAAAAATTATCTATTTGTCTATATAACATTACTACAAGACAGTACATCATCATTGTTCTGATATATACATAACTACAGAAAAAGCATATTAATAGCAGGAATCTTTACTAAAATAAATTTTTGTGGGCCTTGTTTATCAGAGAAATCACATTGTAGATTTCAATCCAAGGTGAACTCATTTCAGGAAGATCATTGCAAAGAGTTGCGGAAGGTCCAACAAGAATTAAGAAACCAAATTATGGAAATCCCAACATTCATGGTAAGTGAGTAAAGACTTACTATGAAATAAATGACGTTTAATTTCCAGAAGAAGTTAGTAAGGACTTCTTTGGTGTCTTTGTAATATTGCTAAAGGAAGAATGTAAATACACTCTAGTTTTCATAAATTCTCAAAAACAATAGTAAAAATTAAGATCACACATGTTCTTTTGACAGGAAAAATGTTTCAACAAGGGCAGTGCATGGGCACTTAAAATCATGCTCCTGACTATACACAAATTAAAAATCTACTAACCATATAGAAGTCATCAATTAAGTCTCAAAATATCCACAATGTGTCTACCCTTTGTCTAGTGTGTGCTGGTTAGTGTTATGTCAATTTGACCAACAGTAGTGTCATTTGGGAACAGGAAACCTCAATCAAGAGAAAAAGATGACTGACCAGATTAACAATTAGGCAAGGCTGTGTATACCTTTTGTGATTGATGATTAGTTGGGCAGGACCCAGGTCACTGTAGGTAGTGCCACCACTTGGCTCTTGGTTCTGGATTTTATTAGAAAGCAGGCTGTTGGAAATTTGTTAACAGCACACCTTCATGACTTCTGCATCAATTCCAGACTCTAGGTGGTTGTCTTGAAATTTTTAATAGATTTTTGATGTTATTGATCAAGGTGACAGATGAACTAAACACATTGCTCTCCAAATTGCTTTTGGTCATCATGTTTTATCACAACTGAAACTATAATTCAGGCACCAGAAAGTGAGTTTTAATTACCTGCTGAAAAAAAAAAGAAGTAGTCACTGTTCTTAAAGTTTCCATTCCCATGTAGAAAGTGTCCAGGGTCAAACCTATCTGGACTGTAGAACTCCTTATTCTCATGCAGCAGTGATGACAGTGATGTTATCATCATTCTTCCCTGGAACAATATACACAGAGACACCAAGTTACAAAGAAATCATGGAACTAAATAATATTAGAAAAATAACATACTTTATTTCCTGTTCTATAAAATGGGCTAAATATTTTATAAAAATATTTCTAGGTATTACTTCAACAGCCTATATTTACCCAAACTGGAAAATCAAAATGAAACCAATGATTTTCAAGACAAATATCATGTACTGAAGTTAATTCAAGAGCTGGTAAACTAAATAGTTTCATATCCACTAAATAAAGAGAAGCAGTCATTAAAAACTCTCAAACCAAAACAACCAAGAGGCAGATGATTTTAATGCAGAATTCTAGCCTACTTTCAATCAAGAGCTAATACCAATACTCCTCAAATTATTCCACAAATAGTAACACACACACACACACAAACACACACACACACTCACAACCCACTGCCAAATCCACTCTATGGAGCTACAATTACCCCCATTGAAAGAAGGAAAAGAAAGATTGTAAGTAATAGGAGATTAGGAAACCTTCTCCAAGATTGCTTCTTCTAGATATGTGAGAAAAGCTACTGCCATGAAATCTTAGAAAGTTTGTTGAAAAAGGTGTGAACAGTGATAAAAATTAATGGAAGTGGTGATGTTTATGAGAAAGATGGCATTGAAATTCAACTGTAGTGAAGAGATCCAGGCAATGAAATACTGGAGAGATGGGGAGATTTAGACTTCCTTAGAGTTCAGCACCCTAAGTTTTATTGCACATTAAATGGTTAGTTTTAAAATAAATAAATACAATTAATACTAAATAAACTCAGCTTGTTGCACTTATATATGTAACACACACCCACACAGACCAATGATAATTAAAATTATAAGACTATTAACATCAAAGGACATAGAGGGCCATAGGAGATGTCAGTAGATAGAAAGGGTGAGAGGAATTGATATTAAAAATATTTATTTAAATAAAATATTGTTTAAAAAGGATACTGATATTCTTTAAGTAAATTCACCAGGAACAAAAAAAGTTAGAGAATCTAGTTAACTCTGTATATGTCAATGATAAGTTAGAATATATTTATATACCAAAATTAAAAGAGCAGTTGTCCCCAATCATGAGTTTATGGGCATAGAAGGGGGGGACTACTACAAGAAAGTCATAGAAAATGATATCTATAATGTTTTTGATGAAATCTAGTGAAGGAGATAACCATCTAGGCAGAAGAGGTATACAGAATTTGAAGAACATAGGATGAGAAAAAATATACACTCATGACAATATAGTTAAAACACTAAAATTACAGATTAAAAAAAGTTCACTAAAATCTGTAAGAAAATCAAATCACTCCTAAAGATAGATACGTTCAGTTTCATAAAGTAATTATTATATCTAAAACCATGGATTAAACCCATCAGAGAGATAGTGAGTGACTATACCATTCATTCTTATTCATAGACAGATCATCTGTACTAAAGTTAAAGAAACAATATAGTTAACATCACTTTACATCAATTTATCCTAATATACATCTAAGGAAAATTACAACTAACCACTGCAGAATCAACATTCTGCTCAACAGCCAATACTGATAAGCAACAATATTAGTACACAGTACAATTCACAACAAATTAGTTAAAGTGAAATAAGACTCTGAATTCTCTCAGAGCACAGTGAAATAAAAAAAACAGCAAAGGAAAAAATACAAATTCATAAAAAATTAAAAATTAAAATTAACATACAACTAACTAATATAGAGAATGACAATTCTGTCAAAGAAGCAATCAACAATTAAATTAATTGATTTCTAGATTTAGGGCTGGAGAGTCACTTTTGTAGTTAAAAGTCTTTTCTTTCTCTTGAAAATAACTTGCTTTTAGCTCATAGAACCCTTGGCTTGGTTCACAACCATTTTTGCCTCCAGTTTCAGAGGATCTGATGGGTACTTCTGAATTCTTAGTGCACCAGGCATTTATGTGATGCACATACATACAAGCAAATAGAAGAAAGAAACTCACTCAAAAATAAAATAAAATAAATAAACCTAAACTTATTTTTAGCTTTACAAGATAAACCAGGACATTTCATATTATGTGGGACACAGGAAGGCAGTCATAAAGGAATGATTATAGCTGTAAATACCTAAATAAAAATTAAGTGATGTAAATTAATAACTCAATGTCGCAGTTGAAGTTGTGGAAAAAAAGAACAAACAACACCTTTAAAAAGTAGATAGTAAGAGATAGTTATTAATGACCAAATAAATAAAAACGAAACAAAAAATTTATTAAAATTGGAGTTGATCATTTTATCATATTACCATGAATCTATATGGAATTGCAGGGACTATATGTGAAGCTTTGGTGAGAGGAAAGGTATGGGAGTAATGTTGTAATGAATTAGAATGTGAATATTATAAATTAAAATATAAAGAATACCAAGATTGACAATCCTGTATCTAACATTTCCAAAATTTAGACAGAGAAGTGAAAAAATAATAAAATCAAAGAAGAAAATGAGACATCACAACAGACACTATAAAATATGTAGAATCATAAAGATAATCTAAAATGTATATTCCACTAAACTGGAAAACATAAAACAGGATGAATTTTTGATCCAATGACTTAACAATATTAGGCCAATACGCAAAGAATATAGTGAACAGATAAATAAGAATCAGTGACAAAAGCAGTAATCAAAATTTCCACAACTACAAAAAAACCTAGTGCCAGAGAGTTTTAGTGTAGAATTCTACAAGAAATTAAGGGAAAACAAAATATGGAGGATGTAGATCAGGAAAAAATAAAGGGAGAGATTAATTAAAAGTGAATATAGTTGTCCTTCTGGCTATTATAAACAAGACTGTCATGACCATAGTGGAGCATGTGTTCTTGTTATATGTTGGAGCAGCTTTTCGGTATATGCTCAGTAGTGGTATATCTGGGTTATCAGGGAGAACTATCCCCAGTTTTCTGAGGAAGCACCAAATTGCTTTCCAAACTTGTTTTACCAGCTTGCAATCCCACCAACAACGGAAGACTTTTCCTCTTTCTCTACATCCTTGCCTAACATCTACTGTCCTCTGAGATTTTGATGATAAACATTCTGAGGTAAAATCTCAGGGTAATTTTGATTTGCATTTCCCTGATGATTAAGGATGCTGAACATTTCTTTTAGGTTCTTCTTGACCATTGGAGATTCCTCAGTTGAGAATTCTTTGTTGAGCTCTGTACACCATTCTTAATAGGGTTATTTGGTTTTCTGAAGTGTAACCTCTTGAGTTCTTTGTATCTGTTGAGTACTAATATTCTATTGGAAGTAGGACTAGAAAAATCTTTTCCCAGTCCATAGGTTGCAGGGTTTTTTTCCTATTGACAGTGTTCTTTGCCTTACAGAAGCATTTATAAGATCCCATTTCTCAATTCTTGATCCTAGAGCCCTAGCCATTGTTTTTTCTATTCAGGAAAATTTCCACTGTACCAGTGTGTTTGAGGTTAGTTTCCAGGAATCCCTCAAAGGAAGAATTGTTACAGAAAATTTGATACATTTACACAGGAGTATTACTCAGCTATTAAAAATGAAGACTTGCCAACCTTAGTAGATAGATGGATGGTTCTAGGGAATATCATGAGTGAGGTAAACCACACAGAAATGATCACATCTAGTAAGTACTCACTGATAAGTAGATATTAGGGCAAAAGCTCAGAATACCCCCAATATAACTTACAGAACAAATGAAGCTTAAGAATTAGGAAGACCAAAGTGTGGATGCTTCATTTCACATAGAATTTTGAACAAAATAATCACAAGAGCTAGAGGGTCGGAGGGACCTGGGATGGACAGAGGAGTGGAAGGGAAAAGGAGGACAAGATCAGGTATAGGAAGAGACAGGGAAGAAGTACAGAGGGTCAGGAAATCAATAGAAAAATGTACATCTAGTGGGTGGGAACTGGGAGTAGACATTAGAAAGTTTCAGACACTAGGGAAGCAAGAGATTCCCAGGTCACAACTAGAATAATATTAGCCAAAATTCCCAAAAAAGTGTAAGTGGAACCAGTAGAGACCATCCCTGGTAGATATGAATGGTCCCCAGTTGAGGGATGGGGTCACCCACCCATCTCAAAATTTTTAACCCAGAATTTTTCCTGTCCAAAGGAAATGGAGGGACAAAAAATGGACCAGAAACTGACCAAAAGTCCATCCAGAGACTACCCCACATATGGATCCATTCCATCTGCAGACACCAACCCTGACAGGAATACTGATGCCAAAAATCACTTGGTGAGACAAGCCACATGCAGTTGTTTCCTGAGAGGCTCTGTGAGCACCTGAAATATGGATGCAGATATGTCCAGTTATCAGATGGTAACAAGGGATTCCAATGGAAAAGGTAGTTGAAAGAATGAAGAAGCTGAATGGGATTGGTTCGCCATAAGAAGAACAACACTATTAACTAACTAGAACCTTCAGAGATCCCAGGGACTAAACTGCCAACCAAAGCACATACATGGAGGAATCTATGGCTCCAGCTATATATGTAGCAGAAGATGGTCTTATCTGGCATCAATGAGAGTGGAGGACCTTGGTCCTGTAGAGGCCGGGTTACCTAGTGTAGGAGGCTACTAGAGCACCAAGGCTGGAATGGGTAGACTGGTGGAGGAGTAACCTCATAGAGGCAAAGGAGAGAAGGATGGAATGGGTGGTGTTTGCAAGGAAGTTCAAGAAAAGTTGGATGACATTTGAAGTATAAATTAGTAAAATAACAGAAAGGAAGAAGAAGAAGAAGAGGAAGAGGAGGAGGACAAAGAGGAAGATGATGAAAATGACAAAGAAGAAGAAGGAGGAGAAGAAGAAGAAGAGGAGGAAGAGGAGGAGGAGAAGTCAAAAGAGTTGTGGAATTCTCAAAGGATTAATCAGAATAATTTAAAAAATGAAGTAAAAATGTAGAATTTATTTTATAAATGTGTTTAATTTAAAATATATAATAGTAAATATATTTCCATAAAGTAAGTGAATTCCAATAAT